AAGAAACATACTCTGACAGCCTAGTTATTAACATGCATTGTATAATTTAAGAACTTGATTTTTAGGGTTGTTATTATTTTCTAGTTTTGGGAAATTTGCTTTCAAAAACATATAAAACCAAACCTATACAAATTTTATTCATTGGGAGACTTATTAGTGTTACACTATAATTTAGCTTATGATCACATTATAAATCCATGAGCATTTGAACAGAAATTTTGATTTCTCAAAATATTTAGTAATACATTTAGGAAAAAAATATATAGTTGCCGTATTGGTTTTTCTATTGATTGATCTATTTGATTGACCAAGAAATAGATCAAAATCTTTAGATCCCATCATTATTTTCCTTTCAAGTCTCTTGTCTTTAGGGACTTTGAATACAATTTTTAATGGCCAATTTAGTCTACTTAATGGTTATATTTTTTCAGTTTGGCTAAAAATCTACTTTGAAACAATCCCATTATTTTTTGTAACAACTGTTTTCTGTTCGCTTGTATTTTCCTTATTGTGTCTTTGTTCCACATGTTATTTGTAAGGTTACTGAGTTATTCTGCCTTAGGTGTTTATCTTATGCATACAATTAGACTTTGATTATTTAGACAGTCTGGGTGTTTTCCTCTATTTTAACCCATTTATATTTATTGTCAAAACAGAAACATTTTTTCTTGGGTTTGTCATTTTTTATTTCGCAGTGTGAATGCTTTTCTGCTATTTCTTTTGAAATATACTTTATATTCTTTATTTTCTTTTTGTCTGTGGACTTTACTTTGTTTTTTCCATTGAATCACTTAAACTCTCTCTCGCACACATACACACACACACACACACACACACACACACACACATCCTCACAAAGAGATACACAAGTTGACACCTATTTCTTTATAGAACAATTGCTATAGTTTTCCCCTTCTGTAGGATAAAGAAAATACCATTTTTATCTCTGCATGTTTTTCTTTTTTCAGATCATGCACAATCCCATGTGTTAATTCTCTCTGAAGGACTGTACACTTTTTGGAAAACACTTTTCTAGGGTGGCCATTATGCAGAAGCCACTATGTTGTTGTATGTCTGTCACTGCCATCATCATTTCATAGACCTCTCAGATTTCCCTGATGATCTTAGCACCAAGGAAACTACCTCTTCACAGCTATTGCCACCTTATCTTCCTGCTCTCTTAGTATAATCATTAGAGCTCTGGGGCCCACTGAGATCTCTAACCTTTGAATCCACTGGCCTGAACAACATGGTTCCCTGTGGAAATTTCCTATTGATCTCAGCACCTACTTTATTGTCCAACCACAGGCTTGAGCTGAGTCTAATGATGGGACAGGGGATTCATCTTGGAGGTCATCACTGTGGTAGATATGAGAAACAATTATAGGCTGAATTAAATACTGGCACTGATACCTGACTGGCTTCAACAAACAAATGGTTGTGATGGAAAAACAGGGGCATATTTGAGAAAATCTACTAAGGTAGAGTCAAAAAGAAACTGAAGATAAGGGATGAAGTTGAAGGAGAAGCCCATATAGGTGTCCAGGACACTAGCTATGATGAGTGGGGAGATAATAGCATTATATTTTAGGAGGGATGACCCATTGGGTGTAAGGTAGAACACTGAGGGAAAATAGGCTCAGAACTGTTACCTATAGATTGCGTATGAGGAAACTTCATGATATGTATAATAATTCAGGACCATGAGATGGTTAGATGATGCTGATTGATACTCTGAGGAAAGACATAGGACACAGAGCTGGGCTTGGTGTCACCAATGAATTGGCAGTGACTGAATCCACTAATCCTAGCTGGAGCCCTAGGCACCTATATGGGCTTCTACTTCAACCTCATCCCTTATCTTCAGTTTCTCTTTGATTCTACCATAGTAGAATTTCTCAAATATGCCTCTGTTTTTCCATATCTTTTATTAGATGGATCATAGGAAGCAGACAGATGATGAGTAGAGGCAACACAATCTCCAAAGGGATGGAGAAAAAGGAATGCCTATAAACTTATGGCAGGATGGTCTCGTAGATATGAGAAAAATCAAACACGAAATATCCTCTGAGCCTAAGCAGAGATGGAAATAGAGAAGCTGTGGATACTGGCAATTTCTGAAGTGTGTTTAAGAAGTAATAATAATTATAGTAGAATTTATTGAGAATGCCACGTGTGCACCATTGTCAATAGGATGTTAATTCTCTCCACCTGAAAAGTTGCCTAACGGGGTCAATATTGTACAGACACTGGGGCTCAGAACACAGAACTCTTTCTTCTTTTTTATGTAATATTTAATTTATGTATACAGATTTTTTGTCTACATATTCCAGAAGAGGGCATCAGGTCCCATTAGACTACAGTTATAGAAGATTGTTAGCCACAATATGGTTACTGGGAATTGAACTCAGGGTCTCTGGAAGAACTACCCATGCTCTTAACTGCTGAGTCATTCCTCCAGCCCCACCATCTTCCTTCTGAAAATAGAAGAGAGATTTGGAGAATTTTTATCAGAGTTAGAATACTAGCGTCTGTCATAAAAACAGTCTTGAGAGAGATATTTGTGACTGATTGGGATTTATTTTTTTCGAGGCAGGGTTTCTCTGTATAGCTTTTGTGCCTGTGCCGGAAGTTGCACTGTAGCCCAGACTGGCCTCAAACTCACAGAGATCCGCCTGCCTCTGCCTCCCAAGTGCTGGGATTAAAGGTGTACGCCGCCACCACCTGGCTACTGATTGGGATTTTTATACTTAACATTTTGTGGAGGAAGTAAGGAAGTGATATGAATGGCTTTATTAAACTACTAAGGATTGTGGTTGAAATACAGTTGACCACAGAGAAGAGCTTCCTACAAAGAGGTTGTTTTTTAGTAATAGGAAAAGCTGATACTATTTATATATGCTAAGATCAGAGGGGAAAAAGGGAGAACCTAGAAATGCAGAGTAGCAAAGGAAAGTCAAGAAGAGCCAAGATTCTGGAAACTTCAGCAGGAATCAGTGAGGTTCAAAGGTATTGACTTACTTGCAGAGATTGTGATTGGTGTGGAAGAAGGGTAGGTTTGGGTTAAAAAGGGAGAAGTTGTCCCCTCCCTTATCTTGAAGCTTTAGTGCCTTCTTGTATTGGGTGAGTGGAAGATAGAAGAAGAACACAGGGTAGGGCTTGTGGCTGGAGAGGGATGGTCCACAATTGACTTGACAGGGTTCAAAAGGAGATGCAACGGAACTAGTTTTATAGGGAGAATCACATTGGTGATTAGCCACCGTGGAGGAAGGAGCCTGGGCTTAGGGAGAAGGTCAGAAGGTCTAGGTGAATATGCAGACTCCAGGGAAGTACAGATGCGGATACTGTGTGGGTCTAATGAACAGAGGAAAAAATCATGAGCTAGGAGAGGATTGTGGGTTAGAATCTAACAGAGGATTGCAAGGTGTCACGTCCAAGTTCGGGAATATAGCTGATGTAGATGGGGGAGTGTGAATTAGTACTGTAAAAGGTCCTTCCCATGGGATTCACAGGAGAACTCATTCCTCCTCAGTGAAGAGGGTGGGAAGACAAGGGAAGCCGAACTATAACATCCTTGTGGAAGTAAAAAGTTTTGGTAGGGCTCTGAGTAGAGAAGAGAAAAGTTCTTGCTTCCTTCCACTCCTGGATAGATTGCTACTAGTCTCTAAGAGGTGTGATGAAGACATCCGGGAAGCCTTAGGAAATGGCTTAGCCAGCAAAGTGCTTGTTATGTAAACACAAGGACTCGAGTTTGAACTCTATCACCCCTGTACAAAGGAGGCAGGCTTTTAGTGACACAGTCTTATAGTCCCAGGGCTGGACAGGCGCAGACAGTCTAGCTTAACTGGAGAATTCTACGCCAAGTGAGAGACCCTATCTCATAAACCAAGATGGGTGGCACCTAAAAGAATGACAACAGAGCACACATGCAAACACACACACACACACACACACACACACACACACACTCACACACACACACACACACACACACTCACACACACACTCACACACACACACTCACACACACTCACACACACACACTCACACACACACTCACACACACACACTCACACACACTCACACACACACTCACACACACACTCACACACACACACTCACACACACACTCACACACACACTCACACACACACACTCACACACACACACTAACACACACACACTCACACACACTCACACACACACACTCTCACAAACACACACACACTCACACACACACACTCACACACACACTCACACACACACACACTCACACACACACACTCACACACACACTCACACACACACTCACACACACATTCACACACACTCACACACACTCACACACACACACTCACACACACATTCACACACACACACACACACACACACACACACTCACACACAGAGAGAGACACTTAGGAAATTCAAGGTGACTATAGAGTCCCATCAGGATCAACTCTCCTTGGCTTACACTGTTTTCCAAGACAGTAAGGAAATTGGGTTATTTGTAATAGTTCCTTCTGTAATTCATTTGGAGCCGCAATGAGGGAGGTACTGATGGGGACCCAGGATCTTATGTTATCCCTGAAATCCATTGAAAATGTTCTACATGGCTGACTTCTATTGCTGGTCACCAGAGTGTAGATTTTTTGTCTTGTTTGGAAACCCAATTCAACTGGCAGGATGTCACACTATTTCTAATTGGTCTTAATAATAAAACCCAGAGTCAGGTATCGGGGTAAATGCTGAAAGATCAGAGACGTAAGCTAGAGAGACATTTTATCTCTACCAAATCCTCAGACAGAGGGGAACAAGATCCTGTCTCTGTGAACCCTCAGACTGAATGCTTGAGCTCTGGTATGCTCTCCTTCTGTGAGGCATTGGTGACTGGTTCTGAGGGAAAACGGACACAGAAAGGGACTGGGGGCTGTGTGGCTTCTTCAGGTGGATATGGACAACTGCTTCTGTGAAACTGATGTCAGCCCTGTGTATTGCAGGTGATATTTGAATCCGTCTCTTTGAAGGGTCATCCTGGTTACATCGCTGTGGACGAGGTCCGGGTCCTTGCTCATCCATGCAGTAAGTCTCTCCATTTCTCCTAACACATCCTTTCTCCGTGCCAGACTGGGTAGTCGCAAGGATGCAGTGCCCCTATTCATTCAGCTCACAGCCATCTCCCTTGCTCTCTTTTAATCTTTCAGAACTGCTTACACACCCAATGCAATCAGTCCTGAAGAAATCCATAATTTTGCTGGCCGGTTCAAGAGGCAGCACCTCCAGGAATTTGCAGAGACTGGCAAAAACAATTTGTCTGAATCTCTCTCCATTAGTAAGAGAGTCTAAAGTCCTGATTGTTTATTAGTGGGATTCAGACCACTGAAGTGGAAGAATTAGAGGCCTTTGGATAGAATCTTCTGCAATTGTCTTAAAAAAAAAAAAAACGAGCAACATTAAACATGAAACAAATTAGCATACTCTTCACCCACAAAGAAAAGGACCCCAGAGCTATTAATTCTTTACAAATAACTTTAAATACACTTATCAGCACTGTGTAGGTGTAGGGCAAGATTACCATGGTTCGTACTCATGGGACAGTGTCAAGTCCTCAGTGGCATGCCTCTCCTCCTTGAAGTTTCCCTCTTTGTCACATTCAAAGACACTTGAATGTGCCTCAGTAGGAACCACACAGCTCCTGTGCAGCCAAGTCCTGGGTGCATGCAATTGTGCTGATATAATACCTCATAGGTTGGAAGACTGTAGTCTGGGGATACCTAAGGGATTATGGAAGCCACTGCCAGAGGTGGCTGGGATGCCAGGTCCTCAATTTGGAAGAACTGTGTTTTATATTCCTATCAGTTTCTTGGCAGATTTTTAGTTCTAGGTGACCCCTAGGGGTTCCTCAACTCTCCCATGTGACCATAAGACATTGAGTTAAATAGATTTTAGTAGGATGAAATACCCATGGCAGACTGACATTTAAAAAGATCTTAGTTTTTGTCTTTGACGATCTCATTCATGTAATATAATGTATCTTGATTATATATCTTGATTATATTTATGTATTAGTTCCCCCCAGGATCCCACATTACATCTCCCTTTCAGCTTCAAATGCTTGCCCCCCCCACCTCGTGCACGCGCATGCGCTTATTAATTAATTAATCAATTATTTAAAAACCCACAGATCCTAATTAAAGCTTTCCGTATATATGTGGTTGTTGAGTTCTTCCTTGGGGTATGGGGAACTGCCAGTGATCACACGCCTAGAGAAAAGAGAAACTTCCTGTTCCCATGACACATTACAGCCATCAGCTGCCAATAGTTCCTCATTCAGGAGTGGAGGTTCTAGGGAGCCCTTACTCTATTCTTGCTAGAATTTTTAGCTGAATAGATTTTATGCAGGCCATATGTATGAAACCACGGAGAATATGAATTTGCTTGTACAACAGCCATGCCATGCCCAAAGGACAGCAGCTCACGCCCACCCCTTATCTTCTCGCTCTTCCATTCCTTCAGGCTCCTCTTCTGTTGTGTTTCCTGATTCTGGGAGGCAGACTGCCATAGACATTCCATATATAGCTGAGTTGTTCCTTTTTGAAGGTTTTGTAGAATTCTGCAGTGAACTCATCCAGTGCTGGCCTTATTTTCAGTTGGGAGACTTGTAATTACTATTTCAATCTTGTTGCTGGTTAGGGACCTGTTTAACATTTTTCATGTCATATTGATTTAATTTTGGTATGTTGTCTGCATCTAGATTTTTCCATTTCCTTTAGATTTTTTTTTTAATTTAGTATAGTGGGGGCTTTAAAAACATGTTAGTATTATTTTCTGGATTTCATTGGTATCTGTTCTAGTGTTTCCCAAATCATTTCTAATTTTACTAATTTGTGTCATATTTTGTGTTTGTTTTAGTAAACTTGTCTACAAACTTGCCAGTCTTATTGATCATTTCCAAGAACCATCTCATTGTTCTATTGATTATTTATAGTAGTTTTTCTACTCCATTAATTTCAGTCCTGATTTTGATTATCTCTTTCCAACTACTATTTGGGCATCATTAAGTTATTTATTTGAGAATTCTCAATATTTTTTTTGATTCAGGCACTTACTATTATTAATAGTAGTCTTAGAACAAGCAAACTAGCTTTGTAAAGAAAAGAGGTTTATTAGCTCACAGTTTTTGGAAGTTCAAGGGCATAACACTGGCATAGGCTTGGGCCTGGTGATAGCGTTCCAGCTTGTAGAGTCTGAGGGCCGAGCAGAACATCATATGGAAACACAGAGGGAGGACACACATGGATGTCAAAGCTCTGTCTACGTTTTCTAACACCAGGATTGAATTCTTCATGCTCCACTGTGAAGAACTTGTCCACACCTTACCTAATTCTGAAACAGCCCATTCTAAATGTCACTGTCAGATACTACCCTCTTGGTGTCACTTGACTTTGGGGACTCAACTTTGGTGTGAGTTGGGAAGCCAAATCATTCATGCCAAACAGTTAGGCTATGGGTAATGGAGCAGCTTACCACCACCTCAAGAGGCATCCTGAATACTTCTCTATGTACCTTTTAATAGCCACACACGACAACACACACACACACACACACACACACACACACACACACACACCTGGGCATGAGTCTCACATCAGCCCCACTGTGTTCCTGTCATTGAAATGGATCTTTCTGCTTCTGTTGCCATCCGTTTGTCAGATCTTCTATTATCATTTCCTTCCCACTGCTGGGGAGAAGACCACCATGGTCTGACTCGTTAGCTTAAAGCACCTTCTCTGGAAAAATTTATGGCCAGTTTCAAGTTCTAGACAATATTTGGGGGAACTGGGTCTGATGTCTATGTAAGAGATGCTCTCTCTCAGCGATAAACCAGCCACTCAGAAACACAAGGTAGACTTGGTTCCCTGTTGTTCTTGCTCTCATCTAGGTTATGTCTCAAGTCGTTCAGAGTGTCTTAGGTGGCTCTGTCCACTGACTCATGCTTGTGAAATATCTCTGCGGAAGTCACAATCATGTGAAGAGGATCCAAAATCACCAGCAATGCAGGGTTTCAATGGAAGACATACATATGGATTCCCCTTGCCTGTCCTGACTGTCTCCCTCCCTTGATCCTCATGAGTCTCATCAATGTCAGATACCCACTAGGGAATGATCTGTATTCTAAGACTGGACAGTGGTGTCAGGAGCACCTGTTCTTCTCACATCAATTTAACTACACACTCAACCCTATGCATTCTTCAGTGTTGCACAGTCTCCCCCATAAACCTTTTATCTTCCTTACATCCTGCACGTGTCTATTGCCAGAGCACACCCACCATTGCTGCCAAAGCTCATTGTTTTTATGCCTGGACTTGGTCTTTCTTGGTGACCCTTGGTTTTCTCCAGCAGAATACAGCATGCTGGTCTGACCTGGGATCCTAGTGCTCCATGCTCCTGTTGAAAAACTCCCTTTCACCATAATATCTTGATGCTCATCTCTTGACCAACCTCTCTGTCTTATCTCCAAGTCCTGTCCATCACCAGCAGGCACTCCCTTCTCTTCATTGTATTGCTGGAGGAGAGAACCCCTGGAGCACATTTGGATGGCTTTCTACCGACAAAACCATAAGGATCATTGGGAACCTTCCCTATTTTCACTAGGATGTCTGGGAATTTAAGATTCTCCTAATAACCCCATCCTCCTCCTGCTGAGAAGTGTGGATCGCACGGTTATAGAATTGCTGAGAGTCGGTTACCCAGCAAATGGACCATGGGCTATAACTCTAGAAGACATGACCTTGGCTTTATTTCCGCATGGCATATTGTGGTAGTGTTCAAGCCCAGCGCTCAGGAGGCTTAAGCACATCTTTGCCAGAAAATACAATGAGAGACCCATGAAAGAGTAGCTGGAGCTGGAGAAAGTCACGCTAAGGAGATGTGCAAACACTGCCAGGGTGGGTAGTCCCCTGAGGTACACCCACGCTCAGTCACTGATAGCCCAGGATTTTACACTTTCTTCATTTCAGCAAGTAACTTATTGATTGTGAGCAGTGTATTTTCTTGAGCTTTTCTGGGCATAACAGATAGTTAAGTAAGAAAGGGTTGGCACCTGTGCTTGTGTTTAACAAGCAGGGGGCGAGAAGGAAAAAGAAATTGAGTATCTAATACTAGATCAGCAATGGATGATTTGGGTTACGGGAAAGTATTGTGAATAGGATAAATATGGGAAGTGGGACCTGCAGGACTCCTTAAGTAGTGTGGTCATGGGATGTGGCTTCAAAGATGAGACCAGAGCTGGGACTCTAATCATGGAAAGGAGTTTGCTTTCTGAAAATCTGGGAAGGGGGCTTCTAAGGTGTTGGAACATGAAGAGCAGAATCCCTGCACTGGGTAACAGCCCCATGCTGACAATGTGTCCTGGTAGGTGGGGCACAGCAAACTATGTCCTAGGTGAACCTTGGGCAGGTGACCTGGGACCTCACCATTCAGGGCCTAAGGCGTCATTGTGGGTGGATATTAGCCATAAGTGTGGGGAGGCAATGCCAGAGGGCTTATTTGGGGATGGAATTCTTTCAGTTAAATCATGAAAGGTGCTATCCGGTGAATGGGTTTAAGTCCCATAGGGGGGATGGGGGAACTATAAGGAAGAGCATTCTGGAGCTAGGCTAGACACAGTGGTGAACTGAGGCAGGGCAGTGACAGTCAGCTGCTCCTCACACAGGAAGTGATTACTGAGCTTGTCCTCCTCGTCAGGCACAGTTCTGGGATCATGGAGCTACAGGAGACAAACTCATTGTCTGCCCTGGTAGGCCTCCAGTAAAGTGAGTGAGACAGAAGCAAAATCACCAATGCCACAATTATATTTCATGTAACAGATGGTTTATTGCTTAGCAAAGATTGTGGTCCAGACATGCCAGAGACGAGGTGGCTTAAGCGATCACACCACATTTTCTAAGAGCCCTTGTGGATAGGAATTCAAGGTTAAGGTGTTGAAAAATTAACTTCGGAGACATCATCTTAGGCTAGCAAATTTTTCCGCAGTGAAACCTCTCGTGGTCTTTTCTCTCTGTGTAAAAGTCCTTGGTGTC